CCAGGGACCCCTGCCTGCGAGAACCCCCTCAGCAGAATGCTGAGCCCCTGGGGACACTGGGCTCGTGTGTCGTGTGGGGTCTGGGACCACCCCCCACCAGCTGGGCTGCCCAGGGGCGGCACGGGGGGACTTCCCAGAGATTCAGCCCTGGGCACCGGGTCTTTCCAAGCCCTTGCTGCCAGCTGCTGCCCGGCCACCTCTGCTCTCCTCCAGCAGAAAGCAGGGGCTGCCTGGGCTCTGGCTGCAGGCCTGGCTGCGGGCACCAGGGAACACTCTCTCCAGCCAATCCGAGCTTGTGCCTTGACTCTCAAAAGGAGGCACCTTGATTCCAAAGGCCCCCCCATTACCCCCATTATCTGAGTTTCTCCTCTCTGTCCCCATCTTGGAATCAGGCCGAAAGTATTGCTGGGGGGATTAAAGAGGGTGATTGTGAGGCTGCACGTGGCCAGGAGGGCGGCGGGCTGAGGGTCTGAGACTGACATTCCGCCATGTGCTCTGAGCTGCTTGACCTCCGGTTCCTGAGAAGACAGACGTGGGGCCCCTGCAGGGCCAGAGGGAGGCCAGGGGCGAGCGGGGTGTGCGGCAGATGTCCCCCACTGCCTCTTGAGTAGCAGCTGGCCCAGCGGGGGTGGGGAGGGGAGACCCTGTACCAGAATTGTCCCAGGAGCTGTTTTCAGGTGCACTGTGGAGGCTCTGAGGCCTGGGTGAGGGGCAGGGTGAGGGGCACCCGGGACCCCCAAGCCCATACATTCCAAATGGGCTCTGCTTCCCACCACATAAGACAGAACCTCTACAGTGCAGGGAGACTCCAGTGGAGAGGAGCGCTGTGCCACTGCACGTGGCAGTTAGTGTGCAGCTGACGGGAAAGGACAGGACAGAGTTTCTGAGTCCAACACCCCAAGTCCTGGCCCCTCGCGGGTTGGCCCAAAGCAGGGCACTAAGACCCCAGCACAGCCTAAGGCACCTCCTGGGGGACCCTAGGGAAGGGAAGGGGCGGGGCGGGACGGGCAATCTCAAGTTAAATCTCAACCGCTCTTATCATGGAGTCCTGGAGCTGACTTCACCGCAGCCTTTGGTAGCCACCCACCTGCTCCGGCTCCGCCTTGCACAGCGCGGATCAAGGTCTGGCCCGGCCTGGGCTCATCTTCCGGCTGAACGGGTTGCTGAAGGTCGGATACGAGCTCGTGCAGCGAGCCCTGACCCCCGTCTTCAGGCTTGGCCTGCCCGTGTGCTCCCCGTCTGGGCTCTAGTTGGCACGGGCTGACCTGCCCGGTCACAGTCCTGGTCTCAGAACGCCGCCTCCCGCCCCGAGTGCGCCTGCACGGGGCGGCGCTCACCTTCGCCTCTGTGTGAGGCCTCCCGCCTTCCCTGCTGTCAGAGGTGCTGACTGGCTCGAGCGGGACGGGACGGTGTGCTGGTTAGCGCTCCTTACACATGCCTGGGCCTCTAGCCCGACCCACCCCGAAGAGGAAGGTCCCGAGACAGCTCTCACTGCTGGGTCTGATGTACTCCCCTCGGGGCCGAACCTCCACACCTGTAGGCTTTCAGCTATGGGCCAGTACTGCCCCTTCTTCAGAAACTGAAAGAACTTGAGCGAATATTCTTCAGGCACACGCCCTGAACCTTACAGAAACTTACAAAGCACCAGTATGGAAAACCTGATAATGTATTGTGTCCACAAGTTTCTTGTACAAATTGCAGGTACTCCCCTGTTCAATGGACCCACGTCAAGGCTTGACGGGGAAGCTGCTAACTGTACCAATCCCACGTGCTGATGGGGGGACCTCGAGGTAAATTCCTGACTAACTGCTCTGCTGACTAATGCTACCATCTGGGATTACGCCCCACAGGCCTTACGGACTAACAATGGCACTGAGCTAGATCCACGACAACAGGGTTTTGTGGCATGACCTGGGGTTTCAAGACAGCCTGACGGCTGCAACCGAGCAGTGGGGTCTGTGGGAACTCCTCGCTGCTGCTCGGCGGTGCAGCTCCAGGGGGGCCACTTCTCTGGCACTTCAAGCCCCGTGGCCCATATCATTTTGCATATAATGCTGGCTTTTACCTTCAAGCATGTGTGAACTTACCGGATATAACGGCCATAGGCCCTTTAACATCTAATCACACTATTGGTGCAGTTACGTGTACCAAGTGTCAGCTGTACTCCTGTTTAAACCCTTTGGTACCTTTTTTTAAAAAAAGATTTATTGGCCCTCCCTGGTGGCGCAGTGGGTTAAAGCACAGCACTGAGAAGCT